TGCTGGGATCTCTCCTCTCTTTCAGTTGATCTCCCGCCCATTGAACCCTCTCGGTATGTCTTTGTGCCTCCAAAGCACCCTGACAAGATGGGATTTGATGAAGTAAGGAACTTAAATTTCTTTTACCGTCTTCCCACTCATCACCTAGAGGACCTGAGTTCTTCCTGCTGCTGTGCTTCTAGCCATTTCCGTTGGTGTACCCTGACGTTTGTCTTTAGCTCTCAAGCTCCTTGCACTCTTGCAGCATGTAACTGGACTACAAAGAGCTCATGAAAAGCTACTGTTACTCAGTGGGTAATGGAAGTGAAACTAGTTTACTTGGACAACCCTTTCTAGCCCCTGTTGTTCAAACACAGAAGCCACCCCCACAAAAAACTGTAGGAATTTAAGAAAGATGCATGCCAGTAATGCTGACGGTGTTATAACCGGTCCATACCTTGTTACTGGATGTGATGTTGAAAATGAAAACAATGCAAAAGGAAGGTTGTAGCTGAAGGCTTACACCTACAGGGATACAGCTGAAACGTGGTGTTTCAAGTTCACAAGGGAGCAGGGAAGATGAGTTGTGGGAGCTGGAAGAAGTTCCAATAGTAAAAGTGATGAAGTTGAAGATAGCGACAGAGGTGGTATGAGGAGTTAAACAAAACCCAAAACCAACACCAAACAAACTATAACCCCCAGCCTGACATGCAGCAAGAAAGTCTAAGGTAAGAACATAGACTAACTCGAGGCAAACACTAGTGGAAAAACATTTAATACTTACTGTATAAAGATCACAGGAAAGCAATTAAAAAACATCTTTTTCATATATAACCTTACAGAAAGTGTAATTTTAAACTCAAGAACATTCCACTTTCACCTTAACACAGACATACACCTTTGAGTGAGCAATACTATACTTCAGAAATGGTACTGTACAGACATCAATGATGCTTACACTGAAATGCAAAGAAAACTGAACTTCTGTTGTAACCTTGCCCTAACTCTGGGCAGAGGTTAAGGCTCAGTTACAAACTCACTACCTTCACTGTCTCAAGAAGAACTAAATTGGAAGTCTTAAACTATTCAGACTAGGACCTACATGGTGCTACTTGTAAACAGAAGTGATAAACCTTATAGGAGTGTAAAACATTAACGATCATTTGTGATCGTGATGTTTGCATCATTGACCATGATGCAAAGCATGTAACCTGAGCCCAGTTTTGGAAATTAGTGCTACAGAACTGGAAGGAAACAAGGCCCAGGTATGGATAAAATGCAGTATTTGAGTCTGGTTTAACTAATACTAATGTATCTCAGAGACAGCCTTTTCCATAAGGGCTGCTTACAATCCAATGTCTTATTTATGGCTTTTAAAAATAAAATCTCTTAACTATCACTTCAAGGAAGCCAGTGTTCTGGGGAAAGCCTCAAAAATTGTTACTTAAAGTTTCACACAGAACAGATGATTAAATTCTCTATTCCAGCTGAAAGGATGTACTGTGTCTGGAAATTCATTGAATAGACGTATATGAAGAGCAAGGGAGGTGCCCGTAGATGATGCATAATAATGCTACAAGTATATAAAATCACTGGTTGGGGTAATGCTTAAAACCTGGCTATCTCAACACTCACTTTTAAAATAAAAGGTCATATAGTGTCCCCTCATGAATGAAAAATCTGAGTTAAAAGTTTTGCTCTTGAAGAGTGATTGCACATTAAAAAAGAGGTACGTCAGTCATTTCGGAGTACATACAAAAGGCATTGATTTCTGTTCAATGGGTTAGCAAAGTAAAAGGAGAACCACCCTGCAGTGGCATTAAGACAAGACCTAAATCCCGACAAATAGTACTTTTTTGCCTTCTTCATGAACAAACTATGACATTCATCCAAAAGCAAGTGCAGTCTGTCATATTAAAGTTCTTTGGGGAAAAAAAAATATCCAAAATAGGCAATTTTCTGGTGCAGAACAAGTGCAAAAGAAGTTTGCCAGCTGCGAGACAGAGCAATACACATGCTTGCAGCTTCTGATGTCCCCAGTGATGAGTACCCACTCTGATTTTTCGTAAGTTCAAATGCCTCCTGGAGGCAGCAACTGCTACTGGCACTCAGCTCACCCACACCTTCTGCAAACCAGTGCTCCCATCAGTCAGCTGGAGGCTGGCTGGGACCTCCTTCTTAGTTTCGGCACAATTGTACTGAGACTTCTCCAATTTTATAAAATAAGGTTAGACCTTCTTCTGTGTAATACTGGCACAAAGTAAAATGTTTTCTCACAAAAAGAGTTGGCTTGTATCATGTTCCTAAGACAAACGTTGCAGTCCTGTTCTCCCCTTTAACTGGGGCTCTCACCTTCCTAGGCTAATGTGCAAAACAAAACAACAAATTCTAGTCCCTACTGTCCCGTAAATCCACATCTGTCTGTTCGTATAAGGCTGCAAGGGAGAAAAGACACCTTGCTGGCTGCAGGTCTTCTGTTTTCGAAATTGAATACTGACAAATTCATTTGCTGTTATTCTGTAATACTGGATGATAGCAAAGGGAAAAGCCTCAGCCGGTTCTCCCTGTGGCCTTGCCTTCCTCACAGTGTAATTTTGCTGAGCCTATTGCTCCAACACCCCCGTTTGGCAGTTCTTGGGAGCGTTAGATTGCAATGGCTCCTCATTTTCAAATCCATGGTGACCGAAGCTTTTTTCCGCAGGATGAAATCAAAGTTCACGTGGCTGTTCATGGCGTAAAACACATTGGCATTGTCTGGGATCACCAGCTCTGCAAAAGAGGAACCAGAGCAAGTGTTGATTTGTAGTACTGCATATATAAGGAAAGCTGCAAGAGAACAGAGACTGGGTGAAAAGATTGAGTGTACGCAGCGAGGTAGTACTGGGCCCCTTTTCTTGTTCTGCTGTGCCTCTTCAGCCAAAGCTGCATCAGGTGGCACCCACAGCAGCTGCCCCACAAAGAAGGGGAGCAGGGTTGCAGAGGACAGGAGATGGAGGCCAAATCCAGGCCATGGCCAGCCTGGCAGAGGCCCTGGCAGCCACTCCAAGAGGACACTGCTCGGAGCTCTGTTTGCACAACCTGGTAAAGTGGTAGGATCCGGGTCTGCCCTGATCCATGGGGAGTTTGTACCCTGCCACCCAACCCCAGTGGCTGGCTGCACTCAGGGACAGAGAGCAGCTGCCATTCAGTCAAGAGCTCTACAGGCATAGTGCACATACAAACGTCTACCTGGCAACCCACAGCTGAGCTCTGCCTGTATAAAGTAATGTGCTGGCAGTCATGATAAATCATCCCTGCACATCCCTGGCAGTTATTCTCACTGCCAGCTGTGACATGTCCATGGCATTTCTAACATTGCTTCACATTTTACTCTTTCCTTGAAAATCCAGCAGAACCTTTCAAGCAGTAGCAGAGTTCTGATTCCCTACCTTTATCATCAGAGATGACCTGTACAAGCTCATAGTCCTCAGCTGCATCAGATTCCAGGTTATGCTTTAACAGAGCTCTCTGGAGAACAGCAGGAGTTTTGTCTTGGTTAGTTAGCTGAAAAGACAGAGTTGCAATGAGAACTTCTGCTTGTTCATGCTATATAATGGTTTAGTAATTAGCAAAGGCCTGCCTTTCTGCAAACTGCTTGGTTGTAGGAAGCATTTCAGAGAACTAAAAAAATCATGGGTCAGTAACAGAGTGCTAGGTACTGACATTTGGTGGTGGTAGGTTTTTAGTTCAAGATGACAGATACTCTATTAGAAGAAGCAGTAGTTAATCATGAACACTTTGAGAGATGAGATGCTGCTCTCACCTAACAATAAAAAGTCCACTTAAATAGCTGTGCCATCTGTTGTTTGCAGACATCAATTAATCTGCAGTCGCCTGTCCTGAATACTTTCTTTGACATCCTGCAAAGGTTTTAGGCCTTGTAACTGGGTTTATTGTCTGCTGTGGAAGCACTGTGCATCCGGACCACACAGTGGTGTCCCTCCACAGCCTTATGCAGTCAGACAGAAGATTGGTCTTGCCAGTAACCAAATTTCTTAGGCCCATGGGGACCATCTCTGCAATTCGGGGACATCAGACCATTAAAATCCTAAGATAGCTGAAAGTGCTAAGAATTACCCCTCTGTGTTGGTTACATCCCTCTCACAGGCCCTGAGTGACCAAAAGCATTTGTTCAGCAGCTGAGTCTCCATCAGGATTAACTTCAGAGATAGTGTGCAGTGCAGGCAAGTCATGTTGCCCATGGTCCAGCACAGACCCTGCATGCAACTGGCCCACCACTGCTAGAATCCCTCTGTGGAAACAGCATCAAGGGAAACACCTACACACTGGTTGCTGCTGGTCTGGCAACCTTTGCCACAGAGAGAAGATGAGTTAAATTAAAGGGCTTGTCAGCTTCCTTGTGTACAGCTCCCTATTTCCAGAAACCATCTCCTAGGGAAAGCTGGGGAACAGCCTGGCACATGGTGTCTTGTGTCAAAACTAGCAGACAAATTCAGAGCTAAAGCATCTAGCACTATCAGAAAGGCAGGAGCAGCAAAGCCTGCCCTTGATCAGAATGCTTCAGTTTGAACTTGTTGATAAAGCACAAGCTTTAATTTCAAGATCGTAACTTCCACAAAGATGGTATTTCCAAACCTCATACTGTGCTCCACATATTTTGAATTGTAATGTTTGTCATTTTCTCTTGCAAGGCAGGTTTTGATTAGTCAGCTCAGTGAATAAGTGCTTTAAAAACTAAAAGCACCATTTGTTTAAGCCTTGGATAAAGACATCATCTACACTAACAGCATTTTGCTGTTCCACATCACTCACCAGGATACTCTTGTACATATTGCCATTGTTGTCTTCTGTGCTGATTCGGATGATGCACATATCTTTGTTCTGCTGGTTGTAAACAGGAGACAGTTCTTTTGAGGTAATGGGTGTCACAGAATTAGAGCACTTGTCACTGGAGAACAGCACAGCAGGAGCTGAGATTACGGATGCCACCCCCAAGGGAGATGCATCCATAGAATAGCTGATGGAACTGGAGGTGGAGGATTCAGAGAGCTACACAACAGAAAGAAAGAACACTGTCACAAGCTGGGCATCTTTTCTGCCTGCATGAGTCATTCTGGAAGAATGACTTGAGAAAGCAGAAGGCATATAGAAAACCTCAGTCATCTGCACTCTGCCCAGAAGACTGGCAGTGATATTTCTTGCCTCCAGAAAAAGCGAACTTCATTTGATTCTTTTCACCATTTTAATGAAAACTGATATCCAATTCAGGGTGCTGGACATTGTGCTCTGCTTGCTCTTGCCTCTCAGAGCAGGCCAGGAGGTGGCAGCAGATAAAACGAACAGAATCAGGTTGTAGGCAACCCCGGCTGGGAAAGAAGAGGGAGGCACAGCCATCACTTCCTGCTCCTTTACAGGAGTGAAGATACACACACACCTCCTTGTCTGCCACCTCTCCCTGAATATTCTTTCCTTAGTGAAATTTGCCCCCTTCCTTTCTTCATTCCTTCCTTCCCTTCTTCTCCTGCTGCTCAGGGCTTGGCCATTCTTTTTGTTGGTCTTGTTCAAGAACTGCTGAGAGGATCTTCCCTCTCCCAACTTGCTTATCAAAACCACCATTAACAACTGCTCAAGCTAAACAGTTTAAACAATTTATGGATGCCAGTGTCTGGGATTTTTGCTTAATTTGATTCAGGAACATTTAGTACAATGTAATTTAAAATACCAATCAGCTAAACCCCAAAATTACTCTCTTCAAAAAAACATCCCTGAAAAGGGCTTCAACAATACAGTTAACAGAATTTAGTTCAAAAGGCAGAGTGTGTAGGAAAGATGTCTCTGTGGCTCCCCCTATCAGATCCCTTCTGCTGTTTTCCTGCCTGTATAGTTTGTCTCCCTGGATGGTTGCAGCACCTATCTACTCTCAGCACAAACACTCACAGCTTCAGCCTTACACTCATTTTGCCATGGTGTGTTCCCAGGTGCCAGGGTGCAGGGCTTTGCCTTCTCTGCAAAACAGGGGATGGATTCCAGGCTCTCCGGTTCAGTGCCTTTGTGTAAGACACTGCCTGTATGTGCTAAGAGTGAGCTGCTGTGCCGGAGGAGGTGCAGCAGCTCTGCACTGCACACTGACTTTCCAAGTGAAATTAACCTGAGCCAAGGCAAGGTGTTCATCTTGGCAGAAGCAGCTTGCAGGAGGTCAAACCCGCAGGGTTAGTCAACCCTGACCTTACCTGCCTGCCACCTGGGCAACTGCAGCTGCTCTGTCTTCCCCAGGATTAGGCTGTTACCAATGCACACATGCTTCCACACCTAAAAGACACATTTCCCAGAGTGGAGGCACAGCCTTAGTGCAGCTGGGCTTTGTGAGCACACAGCTGCTGCCAAAGCCAAAGCCAAACTTCCTTTTCCAGCTACAGCTGGTTGAGGATGGACACAAAGCGGGCTGCTGACAGCAGAATAACTCATCAAGCCTGAGATATTCAAGGAGGAAATGACTGGCTGCTGATCTTACTACTCTTCAGCTGATCCCATCTCTTGTTTCATTTGGTTTTATTTTTGAGGACTTAGAAATCCTCTTGTCCATTTTACCACTAATGTGCCATGAGCGAGTGTGATGCTCAGGCTCCTCACCCCAGGCTTGAAGGTAGAACTAACATGCCCCATCCATCTCAAAAAAGAGAGTTAGAGACTGAAAGAAAAATCCATCTAGGGCTTCTCTAGGGTCTCACCTAAGCTAAGAACACTGCCAAGCACAAGAACATCAGGTTTCAGGGAAGGAGAACTTCTGTCTGCCTTGTATCTCAGCAACATAGAAAGGATTGTGCAAAAATCCTGACTTACATTGCTTCAATTTTTACGCATCTATTTGTAGAGCCTCTCCATTCCACTAAAAGCAATGCTCTGGTCAAGACCAACAGGCTTGGGAAAGCGTCTAGGGCCTGCCTGTGTGTCAACAGTCTCTTACAGGCTATTTATGCTGACAACAAGGCTCAGACTATACCTTTTTCTGAGACTCATCAGGAGCGTCAAGAGTGTCAGGAGTGTCTACGGGACCGATGCAGATGTCTTCAGCTTCAGAGTGGTTAAACTCACATGATGAAACACTGGCTGAGTCTGTGCTTTCACCAGAGCTCCCACCTGGGGTAGATTTAGGTTGCTCTTTGACAGGTGTGCTATGGGCAATCATCTCAGAGCCTAGAAACAGTCTAGTATAGAAAAGAAAGCATAAAAGCCAGTAAGTGAAAGCAGGACAGAGCTGGGCTAAGCAAAGCTGTCACTTGGTTCAAAAGTCCTATGTATTGTTCTGTTTTCCTATCTTGAGTGGCCTGTTGTTTTCATTTCCTCTATGTTGTTCAGACAGTTTGTCAAGAGAGCTTGTTATACACTAACACAATGCCTTCTTGACCTAGCGTACCCACCAGCTGCAAGGCCAAAATCAGAGCTAATGTCTCTTCTTCAGACTGTTAGATTTTCAGACTCACTTGCTAGTACATGTCTGATGGTAAATCTGATGTGTTCACAAAACACAGGATGAGGGGCAAGTTTGAGGCATGGCAGCTGGCTCCATCTTATGCAGTCCTGCACTGCTGTCACACCCTGACAGCAGGGCAGAACTGCGTACACAAGGCAGCAGTGCAGGACTGCATACACAAGGCAGCTCAAGACCTACTCAGTCACCATGAGTGAGTGAAACAGTGCATGAAAGGTAACACATGGCCATACACCAGGCAAAGGTTTCAAAAGGCAAATTCATCCCTGCTGCAAATTTTTCACTCCATAAAGGAGCCACAGATACCAGTTTCTCTCTAAGAGTCTGAATGGAGATGTACACAAGGAGATCACAAGAAAGTGCAAATTACAGGCTCTCTCTCTCTGAGACTCATTTCTAAATGCAGCTCAAGTAAATTTAAATGAATGTCAAAGGAAACACTTGTATAATATCTTAAGTAGAGAAGCAAGGTGAATTACATGTTAGTCAGCATGCAGTTAATGGTTTAAGACAATTTAGAGAGGTGTCACTCACTGTTGCTGGGATGAATTATGCCAGCCTTTTCTACAGTATTAATTTGCATTAAAACACATTCAGAGTGCAGATGAAACAGTTCTTTAGACAAAGACTGCACAGTGCAAACAAACTCAGTATGGTAAATTACAACACAGCACTGAAATACAATCAGAAACGAAAGAATAAAGCCTGTGCTCTGCAGCAACACTTACTGCACACAGCTTAGGCACAGGCCAAGGAAGACCCAAATGAGAGGTCACCCAGAGTTCAGGCACTGTCATCTTCAAAGGTCACATTGTCCTATCACCACCAACTCAGACTTATTCATTGAAACACTTTCTGAACAGCTTCCTGGACTTTTTTCTTGTGTATCAGAACTCAAAACTCCAGATTGGAAACATCTATTGTTTCAGACCGTAACGTGCAGTAGCGCTGACATGAAGCAAACAGCAACTGGCTGTTCTGAGGAAACTATGTACGAGAACCAAGTAGGAAAGGACAGTTGGTAGTCCTGTCAAATTCATCATTTTCCCCCTCATCTTGATTATGCCACTGGTATGTGGGAGTCTCTTCATATGTCCCTTTGCATCAGGTTCAAATTTCTCACCTTGAAGATACTTTTACATCAGTCGTTGATCTCTGCTTTCATTCCCTGCAGCTTTCCCTGAATTCCTGATAGTCTGTTGTTTCCTGTGTCTGTTTAGCTGTATGCCCCTGTTCTCCACCCATCTACTGTTTAAATCTCTGTGGTATTAGACTAAATTGGAACACATCCCCATGATTTTTTTCCTTCTCTAATTTAAAGGTAGTTCGGCAGATTGTTTCACTATCAAATCCCTTTTTGATAACCTTAATTTTCATATTAAAACCCTGCAAGGAATTTTTTGCATGTGTATAGCAAACTAGACTAATAATAGGCCAGACTTTATTCACATTTACTTTGTTTTGCTACTGCATTCAGGGAAGATATTACACAATAGATACTGAATTTATAAACTAGCACTAAAATGGTTCCTTTTTCTGACACCTTAGAAAGGCTTGCTTGTTACTAATCTCTTTCATCATTAATATTCCTCATGACTACAGATAACAATAGAAAGGAACAGCTTCAGACAGAATTATGTGTTTCTAGCTGATGGTGTCTTGAAGCAATTCAGTGGTCTGGATCCCCAGCCAGGTTTTTCAGCTGGTGAAATGAGTACTACTCGTGTTAACATAAGCCTGAACAAATCAGACACCAAATGCCCTTTGCCCCATTGTACTCACAGGCTGAATCTCTTCACCATGCTTTTCCGAGATTTTGGTGAAGTGGTGCTGGTGTCAGCAGCTGCCTCAACCTCACATGAAAGGTTGTAACTGCAGAACAGAAGCCACTGGGTTAATTTTACAGGCAAGACTATTAGAGATTTCAAAGTACCAATATTCAAAACATTTGAGAAACCTTCAGGTATTCCTACTTCCCACGTTGCAGTTCCACAAAGAGGAACATAGCTGTGTGTACATTTTACCACGGTGAAGGGGATATTTCACTTCTTTAGAGTAGTTCTAAAAACCAGTGCTTTTTTTGGATTATGTTCATCATGGATAAAGCTGGCACAGTTTTTTACTACCACTCAGTACAACGCAGTATGTATCTGTGCTTACACCCTTAGTGCAGCAGGGGGGTATTCCTCTACCTAGTGGAGACACTAAAATGCCATAAACCAATTGTCTCGGGTTGGCCTGGCAGCACGTGCAGCAGCACAGAACTCAGCAGGGCTGCAAAACCCACCCCAAATGCCTGGGAAGCACTCAGTGAGCTCTGCGTTGCTGGGGCTACCTGCTGCCTGCATCCACCAGCTGAATGCTCAGTGGCTGCATCTTGACATCCCCCAGGATCAACTTCTGAGCACGGGTCTGGGCACAGAGACAGCCGAGACCCAACAGACTATCTCATGTCTTCTGCTTAGCAGAAGGCAGATGTATTTCCACTCTCCCGGAGCAGCAGTACATACCAGTTCCTGTAGGAGGATAACTTAAGGCTGACATAACCTCTCTGCAGGTGGGTGTGGGGTATGAAAAGCCTGCTTTGCCAGCTGGACGTAACCTACCTCTCCGTGTCAGTTAAATGCTGCTGTCTTCTGAACCACCGGATGAATTTTTGGTCTGGTGCCATGCAATAGCTGTTACATGCAGATTGTAGGAGCTTAATTTGGGCAATTACTTCAAATTCCTAAGAAAATACATAATCAAAAAGAAATTCTAATTAGAAAACATGATAAAGCCATATTCATTCATATAATAAACACATAGAGCAATAGAGCCAGGACAAATTTAGTTTGAGTTGAAGTTCAGTTTCAGTTGAGTGACAATTTTAAGAACCAGTTTTTCAAACAGTGAAGTCCGTTCCCAAATACCAACTGAAGTGTAATGCTAGTGCAAATGCACCAAACAGCAGCACTGCTGGTTGTTCCTCTAGGAACAAGGGTAGCGAAGGTCATAAATCCTTCAGACTAACCTACCGACTCACCCCTGTGCTGGTCAGACCAGCTCTGAGAGAAGAATCATGCTCTGAACTTAAGTGGTTCTCAGGCAGCAAACAAGGGTCATAATTAGGGGTGCCTGTGATGAAAGCAGAGTCTGATCCTCCTCAGCTTTGCATGTTGTGCACTCACACTTGCACCAGAGGAACGTAAAACAGTACCCGTAATACAGGTGACTAGAATGTGCGTACACACTTTGCCAAAATAATTCTTAAAACTCGCTTGTGTTAGAGGAGGTTATAGAATCAGGATGTAGGTATGGAGCTGAGTACTCTGCCTGGTTCAGAGGGCAGCTCTGCCACTGGTTTGTACGAAGCTGGACTGATGGTCATGGAGAAGCTCCTGTATTGCACTGTTAGCATCCTGAGCTGTTTAGCTATACATACAAGACAAGTCTGAGAAGTGGACTGTAGAACTGGAAGCAGTTAAGGGAAGGAAATGGGTCCATCACAGCCAAAGCAAAGTCTCCTTTCAGACTCCAGAAGGGAGATTTGGCATGACTTAATTCAGACAAATGCAACCTTAGTACCTTTACTCCTACACAGCATTATCTATCTGGCCAACAAGGATCAGGCTGAAAGGAGAGACAGCATTTATTTCTCAGTCCTGTGTACCTAGTTCACTCTCTGCAGCCTTTTACCTACAAATAGTTTACTGCAGCAGAAGGAAAATATTTACAAGCTGTATCTTCTGGAATGCAAAGGTTTCATGCCACCAGATCGTATTCAAAACATAGTCTCATGCCACATGTAAATCCCTTGGAAGTAAGAGGCCTGAGCTCCTCCTCCCCTGTTGCTCACATCTAAAAAGTAGGTTCTGTTCCTGCAGCACCCCCTGCCCCCCACACATGCTTTGGAAGAAGCTCACAGCATTTCAGGGATCTATTCTTTCCTCATGAACTTGAATTAAAATTAACAGCTGTTGTATATGCCTGAGCAAAGACAAATGGCCTCACTCTCAAAGAGGGCACCACTTAACGAAAACTCACAGAACATTCAGCTTACCCTTCGTCTCTTCTCAAAATTTATCAGGCCACCCTGTTGGAAGGAAAGAGAAGTGATCAGACTAGAAGAGCACATGCTCAGTTGAATTTAATCGCAAACAGGAAGAAGTAGCAAAGCTAATGTAAAGCACAGACCTGCCCTGAGGAAGTGCCTTCTGAAAATACCTGTTTTCAGACCTGGTATAAACCACAACACTCATCTCTCTGAGTCTCCAAAGGATACCTGTCCTCATGGCCTAATGGCAGTCTGCCCCAAAAGAAAAGCCCAATACATGAGTGCTCGTCAGAGCTGTTTTGGGATCGGGTCTGAAGAACGCTAGTGGGGTTTTGCATGCAAGAAACAAACTTGGCTTTTGCTTGGGCTGTGAGTTTGTGTTTCTCAGTGGGTTTACCTGCTGACCACCAAGTATGGACAGCAGGGAAACTGCTAAGTTGACTAGTCTGAGTCAATACTGAAACATGTCACTGATCAGTCTGAAGACCTGAATTTGTGATTCTGTGTGTTTTACCAGTTATTCACAGAAATCATTATACCTAAAATGTTTTCAGAAAATAAAACATAATAATGGAAAACTACTGCCTTCACGTTTTCTAACCTAAGGAAACAAGACAAAATACAATGTTAAGCTTTTCCCTTGAGATAAATGCACCCAAGATTCTTGTTGCTAATAAAACTGCACACTCCTTCCTGGTAGAAGATACGGGAACAGACACACACAGTGGTGGGAGAGCAGGGAGGATTCAAAACATCACCCCAGATTACCTCAACATAGTCCGGAAGGGCTGTGTCAAGCATGATGAGATCAGTGAGGAAGGTACCAAGGTAAGGAACTGTGCCTTGCATGACTCCCTGCAAAAGATCAGAGCAACACTGGATTGACTGACAAGTTAATTAGAATGCTAGAATGCTCCTGTATAAGAAAATGAAGTAAAAGTAATCTGCTTAATCAAACAGTGGTCTTACAAATTATGTTTTCTTTCATTATGTGTATTCTCAGTTTCTAATCCAGAATTTAAGTCAAATCCTAAGGAGTGCAGGATGCTCTTGCAAATATTGCCATATGGTTTTATATTACAACATTGCCACCATACACTGATTTCTAACAGTGGGTCATCAGAAAACTCTGCTTGTGGAAGAAGCGTAGAGCACCAGGGACAGAATCTCTTGGTTACCTGCTACAAGAGAAAGAGCTGAGGAATGATCCTAGGTAGCCTGTGTAGGCAGTTTCTCCACTTCATTCCAGTGGATTTTTACTTAATGATATTATACCATGTGACAGTCAAGTCAAACCAAGTCACCGTTTTTTTTTCCTCCAAGAAATGACCGTCTTCCTCAGCCATTTGCTGCATTTCGATTACTCAAATTTTAAACTTTCTGGGCTCCTGGCAGTTGTACAGTTCAGGCTGTTTCTACACTTGTGAATGAAATGTTTGTTTCTACTATCCAACAGGATCCATATTTTTTCCCAAACAAATAGACAGAAAATAATATTCAGCACTTTTGCCTCCAGAAGCATCCCAGATTTCTCTCCCCCTGTCCTGTTAAATCTTTGCCAACTTCAAGACGAAAGCCATTTTCACCAGCAGACTGGAAACCAGATACGTTTTACAAAGCAAACTCTGTAAAAGCCTGCGCAATTTTCAAGCTGGTATGTCAGAAGATTCATGAGTTTGTTTAAACGTAAATGAGATTTCTTTTCTGGTCACAGCTAATTTTCTTTATCACAAGAATTCCAGTATTTACATTATGTATTTTACTACATGGCTTTCCTTGTGTTTCTCTCTCAGGCTTAACAAGAATAGTTAATGGAATTCTTTCTTGCAGGATAGAAACAAGACAGTTGAAACTCAGGAACTCATGTTTATATTCATCAATCATTTATTACTTTTTTATATGGCAGGTTTAGTAAATCTTCTGAAAACTTGAAACTAAGGCCAAACTCTTGTCTCAAGGTCCATCCCAAACAGCAGGCTGGGATGTGAAGCATTTGCAAGTGGGAATGGGAAAAGCAAGTCCATATACCCAGTTACCTCCTGTAAGGGAAGACTGGCACCAGGGAACATAAAGTGGCTTCTGCATATGTCCACCAAATCCTGCAATCTTTGAGCATTCCCATCATCAGATCACTGAACGCATTGGCAATGCTGATGCTTTGCGTATCCATTTCCTCCAGCATTTCAGTACACAGGCAGGTGATGCTGGAGTAAAAGGACAGCTAGGTTGCACTAAACACCATAGCATCACAGCTTGGCATGTCAGCATAGGCCACACAGCTTGAGCTGTGTGCAGCACAAATCCACTTTGTAATTGTTAGTACACACAGAAGAACAGTTGTATGTGTCGGATCATCTCTCTCTCTCTGCACATCATATGTATACACACATAGTATTACCTTCTTACTACAGTCCACAGCATGAGGGAAATACAGCTATGGGAATATATCTACAGGGACAAACACTTCGATTGCATACTCAGTCTAAACCTTTTGGTTCACTTGCTTTGCATTAGTTAATCAATAGCATTGATATGATTGTTTTTCATAAGCATTACCTACTGCACATTCACTTTGTTAAACACTTGTCTAGATTTTGCTTCTTCTATAATTCACCAATTAGGGTTAATCATGTTACAAGTTGAAAAAGGACCCCAAACACACCATATCTTTTTGAAGTTGCAGTCGCCTCTGTGTCCTTTTCTGATTTTCTTTCACACTGCTGTCCAGATTCGCAAATTTGGATGTTCCTTCCTGTGAGTTAAAAGGGAATTAAAGGCAATTAATGGAGGAAATGAAAGTAATAGGTTTTTAGCTCTGCAATTTAAGCTTTCCTATGAATGGATGAGGTATTTCACAACAGATCTGTAGCCTTTATTTCCTTGGGTCCATACCGGATGCTGGGAGTTACTGTTATTTTTTTCCAGTGGTCAGGCCAATAGGGCATGAATCATTATCGATGTCTTTTTAAGAGGCGCAAAACAACAAGTCTGCACTTGTGAAGAGCCTCTCATTACGATGCTTGCTCCTCTCAGTCCCAGTTAATGAACAGATCACTCAAACTCTGTTTCCTTCCTCGGCTGAAAGACAGGAGCAAGTGAACAAGAAGTGTTGTCTCAGTGTCTTCAGGATACTTGAAAGGTAAACTCAAGATTCTCTAGCAGCAGCCGGCAGGCAGGCACAGAAACTAAACTGCAGCTTGCAGCAGAGCTGTTGTCTGGGGAGGAGAGAACACAGTGCTCCCTCTCTGTGCCGGCAAACCTGTCTCATATGGCATTTTGTCTGCTCTGCACTTCGATTTGGAGGATGGATGGGCATGGTCAAACACAGCTTCCCTAGAGACACTATTTATAGTGAAATGAAACAAAGACTTTAAGGATTCAGTGGACACGAATCCTCCAATCGTTACAAAGCGGTCCAGGACAAGACGTAGGAGAGAGGTTCTGGCTATTCTGTGGAATTCTTCTCCTCTTGCTACTTTCAAAATATCTCACCGGCTTTAAAGTTTAGTGACAGAGGTGGATAAACGCCTGATAAACAAAGCAGACTGACAGGTTTGAATGTGTTCACCCATCGTTCCTCAGCAAAACACAGTGTTTCAAACACCAAGGCAAGGGGGTAAGGTACAAACTGACTGGATACAACTGCCAAAAAGTCAACGGATTAGCCAGTTACTGGAACCTTTTTGATGCAAACAGAAAGTACAGCTGCAAGCATTGTTTAGTTTCTACAGAATATAAACTTTCCCTGCTGTTCTTCCTCACTCCTTTCAACCTCCTGAACTTGGGGTTCACCCAGGAGAGCATGCAAGTCAAACTTTCAGACAGAGCCTGCTTTGTTGTCCATCTGGCCACACACAGAGCAGGAAGCCTGTTCCTTCAAAATTCCCAGCTCTGTTTTCTAGGCCCAAGAAAGGTATGGGTTAGTTGGATAAACATCTTGCTTTCATTCCTCAGCTGAAGCTGAATGGCATTGTTCCAGTGAAGTCAAAAGCACCACAGTGGTGCAGCCCAGTTGAGGATCTCATTTGGAGCTGCTCTGCACTCATCAGTGCAAACCTCAGCCTTTCCAGGTCTCCTCAGAGGTACACAAGCAAGCGGCTCATCTCTCTATACATACAGAGCAGTATAAAGCCAAAGTGCTGACTTGTAGCTCGTTTCAGCAAAACTACACAGTGAAGCACGCCTTCACTCTGGTTGTGGCTCCAGTGCTATTGCAGCTGCAGTACGGCACATACAACTATTCTGGAGCTAGACATTACCATCCCCAAAGGAGCCTTACCAAACTACAGCAGTGTGACATTCAACTTGAGGGGCTCCAAGGGGTTCTGACCTGCTTTCTTGTGAACAAGTCCATGGCAAATCTGTGCTGCTGCAGCCTGGTGCTTGTGGGTATCCAAGCTCAACAAGCTAATGCTAGTGCACATTTTTTTCAGGAACAATAAAATCACCTCTGAGCCCAACAGAAAAACACAGGTTTCACCGACCCGTCTTCCTGAAGCACTACATACAGTAGTTCAGGGAGAGATGAGCTTTGGCAGCTGGTTACAAAAAACATTACCCTCAGCTTTAACTGAGATCACAAGCCTTGCAACTCAGCTAATTCTCACCTTCATTAGTAGTTCCCTGCTTGTCAGGTAATTGTCATGGTCTGAGAAGATATCACCCAGCTCTTCAAACATCAGCATTATGTCCCTGTACAGGAAAAAAGTAAATAGTTTGAGTCACTAGTAAGCACTCTAAACAGATCAGATCACTGTTTTTTCTCATGAATCATTTACAGTTGGGCATATCAAAAGATTAACACAACCAAAATGCAACCAATGAGATGCTCCACATCTGCTGGGAACCTTCCTGGGATGTTCTGGTGCTCCCAGGAAAGTCAGGCCTTATTTGACAGCATTGCTTAGAAATACCATAGCTGCACATACCCTGAGCAGGGTTTTTATACACTGCAGGCTGTGAGGTTGTTGTAAGGAAGCAGGTAAATGGATACAGAAGAACAGAAAAACAGCTGTGAGAGGTATCCTACATACTTTGTTTTTGCCCTGGTCCATGCACTCTAAAGCTGGATGCATTGAAGTGAACAAGTCCCTTTCTGTTGTCCAACACTGTGTTTACAAGATGGCAATATTTTGACCAGGAACAGGAACACGGGGCAGTGGAAGGAAAGACCCACCTCTCTCTAGGAACAGGTTGCCCAGGGAAACTGTGAATGAGCCATCCCTGGCAGTGTTCAAGGCCAGGTTGGACGGAGTCTTAGGTGACATGGTTTAGTGTGTGGCGTCCCTGCCCACGGCAGGGGGTCGGAACTAGACCATCTTAAGGTCCTTTCCAACCCTAATTATTCTGTGATTCTATGAACTATACTGCCTGGCAGTGACATTTTCCTTTGTTTATCAAAGGCAAGGGAAAGAAATCTATTCTTCCCAAACTGAATGAGCAGAACGCCATCCTTCCTACACAGAGATTTCTGGTGTCTGTTTGGCATACAGTAAATATGCCAGGTATTCTCCTGTACAAAGTATTGCTTTTAATACAGGTTTGGATTTTGTTGTTTGGGGATATATTTAAGGACATGTCAGGACCAGGAGAGGATTATTGAGGGCTGTAGCAACCTGGACCTCCTCCAACTTCATGGGAGAGAAGACAATAGGCAAGTATCATGGGGCTGTTATGCTGACCACCTGAGAGCAGTGTCCATGACCTGGGCAAGTAGCTAGTCCCACAGCTTTTTTAGAAGAGGTTGTGGAAGATGTAATAAACTACAAGGGACAGAAGAGACCCAGTATCACGAGGGCAAGTTGTCCCCTCGATATGTAAGAGGAGCTCACAGCAGTCAGACCCAAACAAGGGGTCTGAGCCTCACAGGAATGAGAAGTTCTTTGAACAGAACAGATGTCCACGAAGGAGCAGAATACGAAGACTGAGAAGAACAAGATGAAAAGAAAGAACAATGAGCTTTTTGCCTTTGTTTGGGACTAGCCACTTTGTGTTTTTGTTGGGGTCTAGCCACAGGAGCAGAGCGGGAGGCTTACTTTGGAACGCATGCCCAGGTCTTCTTCAGCCGATAGATGGAGTTGGACTGCAGCGCTGAAATGATGGCCCTTAAGGAGGAAAAATTCTTCAGGATCCTACATTCCTGTGAAAGAAGCGGTTAGAAATACGGTTAGAACCACTTCTAGAGGTTAGAAGCATTAAACGTCAGCATTGCAAATATGTTTACGCTTTTCTGTTTGACTGGTGTCATGCTTGCTACACATTCTCACATCTAAGCAGGCAGCCGTACCAACACTGAGCAC